GACGGTGAAATTCGCGTCATGAGGATGTATCTCGTGTTTTGATTTCTATAAACCTTTCTTTTTACTAAAAGTACAAGTTTTTAGGATATAGATATAATTAAGTTCTCCTTCATGAAAGTTGTGGTTGGTTTCTAAACTATACCTATTATAGTTTACTTGAGAGGTTATCTAGGTGCCTTTGCTACCCAAAGGTGTTGAACTGGAATAAGAGTTTTAATATCTAACCAGATATACATAATATATAACTAGGACTTCAACGACACTCGGACAAATAACCGGATGCTCTAAGTCCACAACCAAACAAGGAACAGGAAATAAAGCGGGTTATCAGTCCTAAGTCCTTCAAACCCTACTTATATAACTATATCTATATAGACATGAATTAAACAAGGAATTTAAGTCTAAAAGACTTTGATAAAAGTTTAATAAATTAAAAAGAGATTTTAGTATTTTCAAAAGAGATTTGAAAACAAGATTTGAAAACCTTTAGCTGAATAGAACGGTTTAACATGCAAAAATCTATTTGCTAGACAGTTATTAATCACATGTGATTAATATAATAACTTATCAGTTCAACTTGTATTCCCCCCCCCCCCATAAAAGCATTTAAAATCATTTAAAAGGTTAATTAAGGGGTATGAACTCACCTGTAGCTGGTGATTCGGATGGACGGATGGTATAGGATGCTAAGTGTCAAGTGAGGACTTGAACACACACGCGGATGCTATTGAACATGTAATGATACATTTATGTATCTAATTAGTCAATTAACAACTAATTTAGCAAGTAAAGACACCCTAATACATGGAAACACTTTGTTTCAAGTGCTAGGAGTACTAAAGGGTTGCATCTAAGGAGAGTATGGCCTCACATTGGAGTTTACTCCCCATATGGTAGCACCATATGGGTTTACGGGTCTTGGACCATTTCCCCCATGAGTTTACGGTCGTAAACTCATGGTAATGGTACCATTGGGTGTTCTAAGGTCTTATACCACACAAGGAAGTAAGCTAGACTTGAATCCAAGGCTTAGGAAGTGACTAGGGCTCGAAATGGCCTTTCTTTGGAGTTTACGGTCCTTGGACCACTCCTTGGGAGTTTACGGTCGTAAACCCATGAGTTTACGACCGTAAACTCTTGGTCACTTCTACATTTTCGTGTTTTGGGGTTTCTAGTTCATGCATGCAAGGTTCTAGTCCTTTATACAAGCCATGGAAGGTGTTAGGGGCATCAAAACACCACTTGGTGGTGTTTACGGTTCAAGGATATCCCTTGACCGTAAACCTAAGTGTTCTTGATGTTTTTCCATGTTTTTACAAGTATCCTAAGCAAAATAACTAGATAGGAGAAGTGTACTTACTTATAGGAAGCTTGTAAGAGTGTTTAAGGGCCAAAAACACTAGTGTGTGTTCTTGGTGTTCTTGGTGTTTTGATGAACACTTGAAGATCTAAGAAAAGAGGAGATTTCCATGGATGAAATCGAGTATAAACACTAGATAAAGTGTTATATGCACGAACCAAGGAAGGAAATACTTACATTTTTGAAGGATTTGAAGAAATGTGATATGATACTTGAGAGGGAATCTTGGGTGTTCTTGAGTTAGGAAGTGAAAAGTGAAAGAATGAAGGGTAAACTCATGCTATATGCATGAGTTCATGGTCAAAGGGAGTTTACGGCCCAAACACCGCTTGTTTGGCCGTAAACACCTAGTTAAGGTGTTAATTGTTTATTTGCTACACAACACTCCTAACAGATACTTCCATTTATTTGTTCGTTTGACGAAAAATTAAAATAAAACACCCAAACGAACTTAAAACCGGCCAAGAATGTACTGGGATGAATTTGACTATTATTTGAAGTGCTTGACTGCGGAGTTTATACAAATGAAAATTTCGGGTTGTCACAAGATACTCACACTTTGAAGGTCTTTAGGGTGTTTACGACCCAAGAACAAGTGTGTGTTCTTGGTGAAAAGATGATGATTTGAAGATCTAACCCAAAAGAGTTGAATTCATGGATGAAATCAAAGCGTTTTACTAGATCAAGAAGGATATCAACTAATAATGAAAGAATCACTTACAACTTTGAAGAGAAATGGAAGTGTTCTTGATGATACCTGAGAGAGAATAATTTTTGTTGACTTGAAGATGTGAGCAACAAGGGAATAATGAAGGAAATTCATACTTAAGGAGAGGGGTTCACAGCTGCCAAGAGTTTACGGCCGTAAACTCTAGTTTGTGGCCGTAAAATCCTTGTGATGGAGTTTTCGGCTCGATTGCAACTCAATGAACTTCATCTAACACTTCCCTACACACAATCCTTGAATGTACTAGGCTTAGAACACTTAAACAGACCCTTAACAATGCTAAAAGGTAGCAGAAACAAGTCTGACATTTGATTGGATTGAATGGCTTTACAAGATAGAAATTCCGGGTTGTCACAGTTGACACCTCATCGACTTTGAAACTACTACTCGATTCACCTTTATTTTTGTCCTTTTTCTTATGGAACTCGAATTTTGGGTCGTTGAAAGGTGGCACAATTTTGAAGGATGATCCCATGGTCATGTACTACTACTGAAAGAAAACAAAAAAACACACGTAAAAAAAATAAAAATGTAATCAACAAAAATACGAGACATCGGTTTCCAGGCCGTGGCAAAATAATGCCCATGCAGTGTCAAATCGAATTTAAGAAAATAAAAACTATTAGAAAAAAAAACTTTTTGCGGATTTAACCCCATAAAAGGATCAATTAAGTAACAACAATAAAAAATTAACTAAAATAAACGGTTCCCCGACAATGGCGCCAAATATATGATGTGTTTTATATATTCACTAAAAGAAATTTAAAATTTATAATCCTAATTATTCGACTCTACAAAAAGACAAATACGAAGTGTACCTAGTCACATAGTAGTAAAGTAGAGTAAGTAAGAAGTCGATCATAGGGAACGAAGTTCTAATTAAGAAAAGAAAAGCTAAAAGTTAAACTAAGAAACCAACTAAAAAATTGGGAGTTTTATCTAATTTTGCAAGTTCATATTAACTTAAATTAATTACTAAAAACTTTAAAACTGAAGCAAACAACTAAGAATGATTTTTAATCAAGAGATAAAGATACTTTCGTTTAGCTTCGATTCTCCCTTTTTTCCTATGGTTAATTTCAAACAATGGATTAATATATGTTGGATACCAAATTAAAACTTACTAATTATCATGATTAGACTAACATATATCAATTTATGAACTTTAACCATAAACACTAAATTAATTTTAAGATCTATTTGGGCTATAAATGAATAAATCTCAGAATTATCTATCCATGATCAAGATAAACAATCAAGCAATTATTATGATTAAATATTGATTTTTAACACAATTAAGAAACTAAATCTACCACTTATACTAGGGTATGATCAACCTCTAGCTCTAGTAATTTATTGATCATAAACAACTAAGAAGAAAAAGTTTATGTAATCAATGTCCACTTCATTGCACAAACTTGAGTCAAAGTAATAAAGATAGGAACTTTTAACATGCTAAGATTACGATCTATCAAAAATAAGCTAAATTTAACTTCATTAATCCATAAAAGAAATAATTAACACATAGTATTAGGGTTCATCTAATCTAAACGAAAGTAAAGGGTTATTAGCCCATAATTACAACAGAAAGACACCTAGTCAAAGAGTAAGCTAGATCAAACATGATAAAACTTATGCAAACCGAATGATTAATTGTATATCTTTACTCCAATCTCTCTAATACTCTTTCTCTAATCGAAATATGATCTCTAAGGGTTTGTCAAAGGTTTTTGCTTGCTTTCTCTCGAAAATCTCAGCATAACTCTCTTCTTTTTTACCTTATTATATGTACTTAAATTTGCCAAAAACTATCCTCCACGTCGTGGCCATATGCTTGCCACGCCATAGAATCCACTTAAAACGCGTATGCAAAAAGTCATCACAAATATTGCCATGGCGTGGACCATAGTTAACCGCATTGTGGAATCCTCATTATGCATATTCTTCTTCTATCTTTTCTTCTTTATGCATGCTTCAATCTCCAAGTCTCCAGCTCTTTCCAGTCTTGGTTCTTTTCTTTGAGATTGTCCTTCTTAGGCTACATAATATATATACATACATATATATATATATATATATATATATATATATATATATATATATATATATATATATATGCTTTCTATATTTTATGCGAAAATGCTAAAATACATGAAATATCGTTACCTCTAAATTCACACTACTAGAAAAACAACATTTTACGACACGCAATTTATGATACACATTGATTTATGATACGCAAAAGTGTGTGACCTAAAAATAATGTCATCTCTCTATAAATTTTAAGGAATTAGGACGCGCATTTTTGCGTGCACTTAAATTAGTGTCTAAAAAAAAACACGGAGGGCGCCTATAATAAAATGTGTGTCGTCTGAGGGTGTCGCTTTATAAATTTTAATGGAAACGCGCGTTCCATCCTTTAATTGCAGGGGGGAAATGAAATCCTAAAAAATTAAAAACCCCGCCTTCCTTTTTTCTCCTTTCCCTCTTGCCCTAATTATCGACGCTCTTCCTCTCCCCTTCCAACATTGACTGCCGCCTGCTTCTTCCCTCGCACTTCAACCATCGTTGCTTACCATTCCCGGTCGTCGACGTCTGTCAAGGCAACATGTCTCGGATACTACATTTTCGAATCCAACATGTCTCGGAGTCTTCTCATATGTCTACCTTCAAAGATCTCTTTTAACTTTCCCAATAATCTGAAATACTTATCTCTTTCTTTGAATCGATGTTTGTTTCCCTGATCTTTTAAGCTGTTCTTTTGGATTTGATTGTTTTGTTTTCTGATTCCTCCATCTCTATCCGATAATTCACAATTTAATCCTACCAGTTTTAATGGCTACTTGCAGAACTTCCAATTTTAGGGTTGTTTCTGTCAAATTGATTACGATTTGATCTGAATTTGTTATTGTTATGACGTACGAGGAAGCAGATGTAGTCACCCTTTTGAAGATCGTGATTGAAGATCCCAAGGATGATTACGTAATTTTGAAGGAACCGGAGGGGTTGGGCGGTGGTAATAGCCGCGGTGGCGGCGGTTGTTGTTCACTGCCTTCTTCTTCCTCACCATCGAGTAGTGTTGGTGGCGGCTTTTGGTGCTCTCTTTGGTGGTGGTCGAAGCTTGTTCTTGTGTTTATCTTCTTGGCTGTTGTGGGGGTTTGTTTCTTTCTATGGATCAGACCTTTTTTAATGATTAAGGTATGTCGATCTGCATTTATCCGAATTTCATTATTTTATCTGCAAATTCCTCTTTTTTTCTTACCGTTGATGTGCAAATCACTCATTAACCCTAATTTCCCCAATTTCCTCAAAGTAACCCTAACTCGCCTCTCCAGAAAGAACCCTAATTCCTAATCTTAATGATATTCTCGACTGTTTCCTTGATTTATATGCATAATTCAGGAACGATCCAACTGGATTTCTGAAATTATTCCAACTTCTATAACTTCAATCCCTCTGTTTCTCACATATTTCAGGAGGTTATCCCTATTTTGAATTGGGAAACCCAAAACTTTCAGCAAACCAGTGTTAGCAGTATTCATCTTCACTTCTGTAGCAATCTTCCCAACCATATTACTACCATCTACACCTTCAATGTGGGTAGCTGGAATGAGTTTTGGTTATGGTTTTGGGTTTCTTTTAATCATCAGTGGAGTCATCATCGGCTAATAGTAGGAATCATTAAACTCAAAACTTAACAGAACAAAATTTGAAAATCGATGGTTTTTGTTTGGCGTTCATATCATTATCTCTATTTACATTCTCTCTATTTACTCTTGGTTATGAATTTCTCATGTTTGAATTTTCGTTTGAGCAGAAAATCAAAAGACATGGCTGGTGGAAACAAAGAACTTGTTAAATGTATGAGCATTTTTTACCATTCAATAATAAAGATAAGTAGCAGGGAGAGAACACACCTTTCATCTTTAATGTTGATGTTGCTCTGCTTGCAGATGTATACAAAAGCTCAAGAAGATTAATTTAGCCTACAAGGAGACCCCAGTGGGAGTGATTCTATATATGGGATCATCATATCCATATTCAGGGGTTGGAAGGACTATTCATAGCTGCATCACCATGGCAGTGTCTGAGTTTTACATGGTCAACCCTCACTTCCAAACAAGGATAATTCTTCACCATAGGGATACCCATGGAGACCCACTACATGCTCTCTCTGCTGGTAAGTCTTACAATGTAGTTAACTATCTTAGACTTCATTTGGAACACATCATGTAACAAGATAAGAAGTAAATACCAAAAAGCATACAACACATGAAAGGCGTGTACTTGTCATTCACGTCTTTCACAACATGTTTAATTTCAATAAAGATGTTTTCTTTGGATATTTTTTCATTGTTTTAATTCATTTGTTTATGATTGTCTTTTTTGCCCATCAGCTCTTGATCTTTTGGAAAAGCCGAAAGTGCAAGCAATCATAGGTTTAGAGTCAACAGCTGAAGCAAAGTTCCTGGCGGTTTTGGGAGACAAAGCTAGAGTGCCTATTCTTTCACTTTCACCATGTCTCTCTTGCAACAAGCATCCTTATTTCCTTCAAGTTACACAAGATGAAAATGAAACCACTCAATTTAAAGGGATTGCTGCAATGGCTGAATCCTTTAGACGGAAGGAAGTTATCCTTATCTGTGAGGATAGTGATAGTGGAAGAGATATGACAAATACTCTCCAAACAAAGAGCATACTGGTAACACATAGGAGCCTAATTTCAACCTCTTGGAGCAATGAACTACTCCAGGAAGAGCTTCACAGGCTTTCAACCATGCAAACAAAAATATTTATCATGCATGCTTCCCCTTCTATTGCATCCCACCTTTTGGTGAATGCAAAGCATCTAGGAATGATGGATGAAGGATATAAATGGATTATCATCGGTAAGACTATGAAGTTTCTGAATTTGCTGGACGATGAAGTTATTGAGTCTATGCAAGGGGCAGTAGGTTTTAAATTATACGTTCCACAATCAAGAGATCTTCACAATTTCACTTACAGACGGAGAAGGAAAAATCACGTGATGGTGAAGCTCCAGGAGATAAACAGTTATGCTCTTTGGGTGTACGATGCAGTTTCAGCTCTAGCAATGGCTGTAGAGCAATTTGAACAACTGAAGAGAAAATATGTGGATACAATTGCAAGTGACTTGACTCAAAGCCAAAAGGGTACAACACTTCTGCTGAATGAGATGTTAAGCATCTCATTTCATGGTTTAGGTGGTGCTTTCCAACTTAGGAATGGGAAGATTAATGATGCACAAGTCATGGAAATAGTAAATGTGATAGATAAAGGTTAAAAGAGGGTTGGTTTTTGGACACCGGATGCTGGTTTCACCAAAACTATTGGTAGTTTGAATAATTCAGTTTCTGATGAGGGTCTGGAAGCCATCATCTGGCCTAAAGGTGGTATCACAACTAATCCAACACATAGGATGCTACAAGCGAGTAGCAAAATCCTCAGAATTGCCATTCCACCAAAATTTGGAGTGGGGAGAGTTTTTCAAGTGAAATACGATGCTGAAACTAATTCCACAGTCGTTTCAGGGTTTTGTGCAGACGTATTCCGAACTGCATTCAAAGGATTAGGTCGCGACATATCCTTTCAGTTCATCCCATTTACGGGAGAAGATAGAATAATAAATTACAACGAGCTTATATATAGAGTCTATACTGGGGTATGCATCTTTTTGAACCCATTATTCTTTATTCCATGCATCGGAAAAAACATTATAATCTATTGGCTTTTCACAAGCCTGTATCAAGACTATGGCAATTGAACAGTAACAAAAGAAAAACAGAGCCTGATACATCGGAAAAAACATTATATGATGATCCCTTTAACTCCATTAATAAATAAACCTAATATTAGCCATATATGCACAGCTTAAACCAGTACTTGAAGAAATCGAAAGAAGATCTTCAAGGAAAGAGTATGTTCAAATTCTTCCAGAATGTCACAGAATATACTGTGAACAACGCCTATCTTTGGTGAGCTTTCACTTTTTTAATCTTTTTTTAGAATTTTTCACTATATGATGTGATTGTAATTATTCATCTTCTTTATGTCATCCAGGTAAAAGGCATAGTATCTCAAAGGATTTCAGAATATTCCAAAAAGGAGACTTTACCTTCTTTAACCAGATCCAGATGTGCATACTTGATGCATGTATCTAATTTATGTCATCCAGGTAATTTATAATGTTTTTTCTTTTATGTATGTGAATAAAAATAGTATAAAAAGAGTATAAAAATTCTATTTGTATTGTAATCACTTTGACAAGTTTGCCAACTGGAGCACCAACTGTTTGACCATTTCTTCCCATCAACTTCAGAGGATATAACAAGTATGGCTCCTTTGGTAGATCCACTGTAAGTTATAAATGGAATTCTTTTATATATCTTTAATGTGTATTTGTTGAAAATTGAAATGCTGCTTTTGTGTTTACAGATGTACTTTCTTGTATGATACACTGAGACGAAAGTTAATCCATGAAACAAATCTTGATGTTCTTTGTGAACTTGTGGATATTCTCAAAATAGAAGTGATAGGAGAACAACTAAGAAGAAGAAGTGAATCTTTGGCTGGAATTCGGCCTACATTGGACAGAATTTTAGCAGATATTCATGAAAGGTTAACCTTCCGTGCTCGAACACATATTCGTGATGAGGTATTATGTCATTTCATATTATCCTTTTATTGAAATAATTTCATTACTAATAAGCTGTTATCTCCATAGTTTAAATTTTGTTTCATGTTCATCTTAGATAACAAATTATCTCCCACTGGATGAAGATCTGGATCAAATCAGATCCCACTTCTGTAAGTTACTTCTTAAATCACATTTTTAATCCTATATATGTTTTATATATGTTTATATAAATTCTATAATTTTTAAAATATTAATTTGCAGATTGAACTGAGTTCAGATGTTGTCAAGACTTGGTACCCTCCACTGGAAAAAACTATAATTTTATAATAACTGGCTTTACCTGTTAGATTTTATGAAAATATCGAAATTGCCCCTACCATCAACACAATCTCATTGATGACATTAACTGTTATATGATCGATTCACAGACTGAATACCCATTCACCAGTTAAGTGATTGCCAAGATGGAAGTCAGTAAGATAAGGCTGAGTGTAAAAACAACTTTTCGTATGGAAAACTATTTATAAATATTAAGTTTTAAATAATTTGTTTTTATATTTATTGTTATTTTAGGTTATTTAATTCGCTTACAGAATGTGATGTGATTTCATATTGTAACTTCAAATCCAGGAACTGGCATTGTAGTTGCTGTTAACAGACTCAATCAAGAAGGATTTCAAGAACATGAGGAGTAATTGGTAAGTTCTTTCAACTTTTTTTAAGCCATCATGGTTACAAAGTTCTGCTTGCGTGCAGGTATTCTCGAGCAGTTAAGACCGAAACCGGTGAGATGACTGTTTGAGAACAAATATCATTTTGATTTGATAAATAATTTAGAAATAAAATGATTGATTGAGGTTTCTTTTTTGTAGATTTTGATTATATAAAGTTGATTGATGAGAAAATGAGTATGGGTTAAATATTGTTATTAGCAAATTACAGGAAAGAGAATGTACTCTACTCTTTTGTACAAATATGGTCAATGCACTTTACTTTTTAAAAGTAATAATAATGTATTTATGTTCTGAACCTACACATTGTTTGTTTGAAACTTGATTTAAGGGTTAAGTGAATGTACCAATTTTGATACAAATGTTATTAGCAAATTATAGGAAAGAGAATGTACTCTACTCTTTTGTACAAATATTGTCAATGCACTTTACTTTTGTACAAAAATGATTGATGGGTTTGCCTCTAACCTAATAAGCTTTATAGTTATTCAGGGACTATACAAATCCTATGCTTCCTGTTGCATCTTCAACAATAGATGCTACTGGTCAGGTAAAGTCATTATTCTTTATAACAGCTTGAATGAATGTTTTGTAAAATTATTCAACTTTTTGTTGTATTTTATATTTGTACTTGTATTATGCTTACTAGTTTGGCAACATTGTTGATCCTAGACAACACTTATTTTGTAGTTATGTTTTTTTGCAGACAATATAAATACTGTGAGCAAATTCATAGATTTAGAGTCCTTGAGTGGTGTTACTAAGGAAGAGTGGAGACAAGTCAGGCACACATTTAAAAAAATCAGCACAAATCTTGTTTACAGTGAGGCACACATTAGGTTATTAGAACTATTAGTTTGAAAATTTTTGTTACAACTTCTATTGATTTATTTTATCTTTCCATGGAACGATTATTTGTATGACATTAAATTTTATGTAATGGATTGTATTTTTTGTATATGATATTTTATTTTATATTATGAGACATTAAATGCAAATTTAATTTGAAAATTAGTAAATCTATAAATAATATTTTTTTAAAACATTTAAAATTACGATACGCAAAAAGCTGTGTCATCATCATTTATGACATGGCCTTTCTTGACAGGGGCTTCTTTGATACGCATTGCATGTCATAAACGCGCGCGTCGTAAGGTTACGACATGCAAATGCGTATCGTCTTCCTTTATGACAGGGCCTTCCATGATACGCATTGCGTGTCATAACTGCGCGTCGTAAATGCGTGTCATAAATGTGCGTCGTAAATGCGCGTCGTAAATAGACGACGCGCAAAAGCGTGTCGTCTCTCGTTATGACAGGGCCTTTATTGACACGCATTTGCTCGTCGTCTGAGCGTTTTACGACACGCATTGTGCGTCGTAAAAGGTTGTTTTTCTAGTAGTGTCAGGAACGTATACATACAAGGTTTTCGTACAAATACGCTACGGTTTTCTTACAATATATATATATATATATATATATATATATATATATATATATATATATATATATGAGACGGGTACAAATGGATCTTAATAAATAAACTATATAAATATAGTTTATAAGACGTTAACCCTTTTGTAATATGTTGAGAAAAAGGGTATTATTATATAAACATATATATAATTATTATTCCATTTTATTTTATTATCATGATAAATTGATAATATCATACAGAGGATTCATCATTTCTGTGAAACAATTTTATAAACTATAATAGGTATAGTTTATGAGACATACACACTATTCTACCTTTTCAAGATACAATATATGATAATTATTTTAAAGTATAATTATTTTATACCCGCACGTAAACTGTGTATGATAATTATTTTAAAGTATATGATAATTATTTTATACACACTGTAACCACTATAAAAGGGTAATACATACAACTACAAGAAAAAGGGAATTTTCATCATACTACACGTAAACAATCAATATGGTTTTGTGAGACACGTCTTCAAGTACTTACCTAAGTACCAACAAAAGTCTTGTATTATAACCAAAGTCTCCTGGAGGGAGAGAGTGACACTTGTGTATAGATCTATACGGGACTGACAATTCCGCACGTAAACTGTTAGCTACAGTTAGACCGGCAGGTCTAGGGTGACAAATGTCGTAACATTCTGACACCTGGAGAACGTCGTAACAGGCCAACAGTCGCTAAGTATGGTTATAATAACTCACAAGGGGTATTAACAATATGTTTTGTTTACGAATACATACATACATTCAAATGGTTTTATTTATATAAAACTACATTACACTATTTTCCAGTACAATAAAATTTACATTTCTAGCAAGATACATTCAAAGGGTTTTACACAGATACAATTACAGTACATTATTTTCTAGTACAATACAGTTTAGAATTCTAGAAACATGAATTCAAATGGTTTTATGAAGATATAAGACTACATTATACCACTTTAAAGTACAAAAATACTTATACAATCCAGTCTTGGAAAATTTAAGACTACATTACATTTAAAAGAAAATATTGGATTTTCTGGAGGAACACACTAAGAATAATGTCGTAATAAAAACCATATAACAGTGTTTAGATAAGTTGGATGTTGCAGTTAAGCCTAGACAGTTATGTAATCATATCTGGGATAAATATAGCCTGATCAACTATATTTATGCGAGATATGACTAACATGTGTTTGGGAATGATCGTGGTGAACAACGAGTCTAAAACTTACCAACCCTATATACCAAGAAACTCTAAGAATCAAACACCAAGTTTAAAATACTATAAGAGTATTTTATGATACTATAGAACCTCACCTAGATTGTTTATGTACCTCCATTCTCGCACAGACAACATGACCGGATTCCACCACGGTGACCCCTACTACCCTAACGCGACAACCAACAGATGGATAGAGAATAAGATAGCCGCTGAAACTAGGGCAGTCATAACGGAACAGGAAACGAAGGAAGCCACTCGTTGGATGTGTGAGATGGAAGGGCACCTTGTGTATCATTTTAGTATATGATAGACTAGTATAGCCTACTGAGTTAGTGACCATACTACTCATACTAAGTGGTGGACTTACTGCATCTTTCATCAAAAATAGTAGTAGTAAATCAAGCGAGATACACCCTCCCAAAACCCATGAAACCCGAACCAACTTAAGATTTTGGCGTCTATTTACTATTTTGGTAAACTAACATTTGTACAATACGTACCAATACTTACTACCATAAGTACATCACGAGGATGTTGGTCAAAATATTGGAATCATATAGTAAATCATAATATATATATATATATATATATATATATATATATATATATATATATATATATATATATATATATATATATATATATATATATGGAAAAGTTCAATAGAGAACCATTATTAATCAAGGAACCAAGGAACCAATCCAAAGCGTCGAAATTTAAAACGATCAACGGCAAAAGGAAGGGTTGTAGACTTTTACAATGGACGTACATGCACCGGATTATAACAAAACCGACTTTCTTTTTTTTGTTTAAATTTTTTTTAGGCCATGTTTTTTATCGAAAAAAAACCGAGTGTACCATTGTTCACGATTTTTCGTCCTCTTTCCAAAGAGATCCATGATGATATATAAAAAACAAACTTTTTTTTTTCGAAAAAAACTCACTTCATTTTCTTTGTTGAAAAGTTAATGTCTATTTTTTAATAGAAAAAAATTAATAAATTTATCAAAATTCATGCTCTCTTGTACTTTTTAAACATAGATTCATATTCATGTAAAAAAACGATATTTCAGTTCAGATTCACATTGTGAACCTGTTCATATTCATATTGTGAACCTGTTCAGATTCACATTGTGAACCTTCTCAGATTCACAGTGTGCATAATAGTAAGTCAAATTCACAGTGTGACTCTGAACTGATCGAGTTTTTTCACATTGTGAATATTAAAAATTGAAATATTTACAGTTTAGATTCACATTGTGAATCTCTACTGATCGTGTTTTTTTTTTTGAACCTTCTCAGATTCATAGTGTGCATATAGATTCATAGTGTGCATAATAGTAAGTCAGATTCACAATGTGAATCTGAACTGATCAAGCTTTTTCACATTGTGAATGTTGCAAATTGAAATATTTATAGTTTAGATTCACAGTGTGAATCTACACTGTTCGAGGTTTTTTTTTAGTCGGTGTTGATGTTTATTAATAAAGTACAAAAAATTAATATTTCTGGTATAATTTGTTTTTTTTGATAAAAATAAACTTAAATATTGAAAAAAATAACAAAATGAAGTGAGTCTTTTTCGAAAAAAAATCTTTTTTTATATATCAACATGGATCTCTATGAAAAGAGGACGAAAAATCGAGAACAACGGTATATTCGGTTTTTTTTTGATAAAAAATTCGGCCTAAAAAAAATTTTAAACGAAAAAAAGAGGTGGGTTTTTTTGGTAAGGAAGTGAATTTTTTTGTATAATCCGGCGTGTGTATGTCCAATATAAAAGTGTACATCTATTTCTTTGGACGTTGATCATTATGATTTCCGACGCTCACGATTG